TAGGTACGAAAAACGATTCTGGGTGTAGACCTAGGTGTAGACGATAGTGGGTGCTAGCCTATATCAAATATATTTACTTCTTACGTATTAAAATAATTTATTTTACTACTAATATTACGTTGGTTGTGTAACGGGGTCGGGGGTGACCAGTTAAATGTAGGATATTCAGGGAAGAAGTTAGTTACTTTTGAATATATTTTAACCGTAGCTCGGGAGCACGAATGGTATTTAGGATTTTAATATTACAAATAAATGACGATTGATCCAAATAACTATTAATATAAAAGTTTATTATTACTTATACGAACAAAGTTTACCAAAATGTGGGACTGTCTCGAAGTTCAGGTGAGCGTGATGGTAATCGCGGAGTACTGGAGTTATCTTTTTTTTTTAGGGCTATACAGGCCATCAAGGCCTTTTGCACGCTTCAACCAAACTTCTCCAAACATTCCGGTCTATTGCATCCTCCAATCGCTTTGTCTCGTCGGTATCTGAAATATCTTCCTTAACTGCATCGCTTAAACCCATCGCTGGCGAGGTCTTCCCCTTGGTCGTTTTTTTGTTGGGTTTCAGATTAGGACATTTCGTATGACACTTTCACCAGCCCGCAAGACATGGCCAGCCCACTCTAATCGTTTCGTTTTTAAGAACAATCCGATATTTGGTTTGTTATATAACCTTCCTAGTTAATCGTTATTTCGTCTCTCATACTCCCCATTTTGATTTCGGACAGGTCCGTAAATTTCCCGTAAAACTTTTCTTTCGAAGGTGAGTAACTTCTCTTCATCCCCCTGTGTTGTGGACCATGTATTGCATGAGTATATTACTATCAGTCTGAGGTACGAGCCACGAGGTGTACAGTGGAGTTATCTTACATATAGGTAGGTAGTAGGCAGATATTTGGCAGTAGCCTTACAATAATAAATGAGGCACCTAAACCGGAGGAGCTTAATGTATAGTCAGCATATTGTATAAATAATAAGTAGGTACCTAATATTGTTATATATAGGTAGCTTATATGTACCTATATAATATAATATATTCCTATTGTGCATATTATTATGTTTATAAAATATAAGTAATGATGTAACAATATTGGTACAGTTGATATAATTTTTACCCATTCGTTATATTATTAATACTTTTTTTATTGATCTTGGGACCGTCAATACTGTGGCCATTAGCTATTTAGCTCGTATTGTAGAGGTTGCGGTTGGTACGATTGATACGGTTAATTCGGAACACTAGTATGTATGATAAGGATTTGCCACTAAATCCCGGGTGATCACCCATCCTGGAACTATTTTCTTTAAAAGTCATGGCCAAAGAACTTTAAAACTTCAACATTTTATTTTTAAAATACACACCAAAAAATAACATTTTTGAACTTACTTTGTAAATGTGAGTTTTTCATTCTTAACATTTTGATGGAATCATAAGCTACCCATCGTACTTACTTTTTATTTTATTCTTAATAAGGTATTTTAATAAAATAAAAACCCGACGAGTGGGAACACGCAGGCTCGTGGACTTCAAATGATGATAACTTTGAAACTAAGTACTACTGACAAAGTCTGATTGCTCCATTGTTCTTAACTCATCAAAATACAGAGGTTTCCAAATTTTTTTTTTCAAAAACGCCTGGGAGTTAACCTGTATTTATACCTATGCCACAAAATAGTAGTTATACCTGACATATGAATAAATATTTTTTTTTTTGGGGGGGAGGCAAAATATATTGCCCCTATTAGCAAAAACTTCAAATACGGCCTTATGAAAATCTACAGTTTTTCACCAATTTTTATAAAAATGATTGCTGAAACTATTGACAAAACTAGTGTCACACTAGTTAACACACAAAAAACTAACATTATTTTATTTAAATATTGTTGCCATTGATCACAAAAAATAAAAAAATAGTTATTATGACTGGATATAATTTTAGACCTGTTTTATTTTTTGAGTAACAACAGTTACATCAAAAACTGGTTTTCAATTGATATATATACATTTTTTTTGATTTCCTCTACGCTTTTGAAAACTACTTCGCATTTTTTACTTTTTACTTTTGACCCACCAAAGTACCAACTAGATCCGATTTTCTACCAGAAACCACCCTGTGAAGTTGAAGATCAAAGCATATTACCTACTACTTATATAATAATAAAAAAAAAAAACAATTAACATTGAATTAAAACCAATAGATTTACTTAGAATCTAAAAGGGTGAGGAAGTTTGTAACCTAGTAAAATGATTATGACTTGATATAGTCATTGATTCGTCAACTCTTATATTAGGTACCAACTTAATATCTATTTTAACGCAATACGCTTCAAATGGAAATTTATATAGTGACAAACCCTAAGGTTGCTAAACTTTAGAAGTTAATATAAAGTACGATGAAGTCCGTTCTTGAAGTTCAGTAAAGGGTATAACCTTTGAGTGTTTTAGACAGTATCCTAAACAATTAGGATACCGTGGTCTCGGTGACTCAAATAATGTATGTAGGTATTATGTAAATGTGTGATGAGAGGGTTGAAGGTGTGATGCAGCCAAATCGGATTTACAAAATTCCTGACAAACTGCAGCCACATACGATATTTGACTATCAAACTAAATTTTTACCCGAGAATTGTATTAATATGTACACCATACTTACTTAATGTATTTTATTTTACTTTAAGTGCTCTTAGTCTAAAGTATATATTTGGTACAGCAAAACTAATACAATTTTCTCAAATTGTGTCTGCAAATTGGTCGTATAGATATGTACAAGGATTCATTACAGCTTTGATGTATTGAACAATATAATTATAATTTTCAAATGTGACATTTATGACATGTCATAATGGCATATTTACGATAAATTAGATTTGTAAAATTGTTGTTGTCGCGCCTGCACTGAAAGTTTAGTTTTTGATAATGGTTGAAACGTGGGAAATCAACCTTTTTCCGTCCAGCAGGTGGTGAAGAGTGAATCCGCATAGTGCCCGGTGGTAAAATGGATATCCCAAATAGTGCTGGGTGTTAAAATGAAAATCTTTAAAAGTGCTAGGGAGTGGAGATGCACAACTAGACACTGATCAAAGAACACAGAGGCATGACAAAAAATAGAAAGTATGTGTGGCTCATGCGGGAAGGAAATTTCAGTCTTAGACGAAATTCAGCACACCTTGCTCACGACTGAAATAGCTCACTTCCCGCCCTCACCGCTCAATATTATACTATAATGATTTAATAATGTTTCAAACATTTGATAACATTATGTCATACATTATATACCTAGTTTTTTGATTACTAAAAACTAATAATAATACAATAATATAAAAAAAATGTGAATAAAAAACATATCAATCCATCTATATTGTCTGTATCATGTTTAGTAACAAATGTTAGCTTATAAGACTACTTAATAATCTCTGTGCTGCTAAAATCACATATTATCTCACCTTTGTTATTTTCCGTTTTTGATCCCTCTGCCAATTATATTGTAATAAGACGTTGTACATGTACAAATGTATTAAATATCAATATTATATTATAATATTATACATATACCACGTGCTGAAAAATTTAATTTTCATAATAAGTACCTAACTGTTATATTATATTATGAACATATATTTGTTATAATTATTTCGTATACCTACCTAATTTTTTTTATTTTTTGAATAATTTGGAATAATTGACCCCGAATGTCAAAGGAATTAATAATATAATAATATAATATTGTAAATATTATAATTAAATTATTAAAGACAGAAACTTCGAATTTCGGAATGTAAGGAGATACATATTATATCCATTGATTTTAAATTTTTAAAATATATTTAGTAGTAAGTATATTTTAAAATAAATATTATATCCTATCCTATGCAGGTACATATCAGGAATATTATACCTCTAGGATTTTATTACCTCTACACATCTAAACCATTATAGCAGTAATCCACTAAATCAATGTACGTAAAGATTACTTATAAACTTGGTGTTGTCACCAATAAACAAAATACGCATAATTAGACAGTTTAGACACTGTAAATTCCATCTAAACTTGATCAAAAATGAATAAATTCAAAATTGTTTGAATCAATAATATAATACAGCGTTAGTAATACATAGATACCATAACAAATTAATAATATTAACATTATTGGTAATTTCAGTGAATAGCTGAAAAAGTGCAAAACAAAATATATAGGTATTATGTGCTTATTTTTTATTTAAGTAATAGATATTTTATAATAATAACGTAACGTAATCGTACAGAATGAATAAAATATCATAAATCCCATTAAATCTTGTTAGGTAACCGGGTTTTCATTTTTTCTCCAAGCATGTAAATAATTTCAATGCGATACACATCGCGATAAAACGAATCACGTGCTTTCCCGAACGCTCGTTTGTTACCCAGGGGATACATTAATTTCGTATACGAACAGTAAAGTTAGGTTGAAAATTTAAAAATTCTGGAATTTGGCACACATCACAGCGCAGCAGAGAACGCAAAAGCCCAGTTTAATTTAAATGAGAAATATTATAATAGAGTCGCAACTGATAAATAACGGTGTAGTGAACGTGGCTATTGATTGGACACGCAACTATTGGTGCGCTGGCATTGCCTTGGAAATCTCATACACCCTTCAGAACGTGTTTCCCATAATACCCGCATCAATTGTGTTGCGATGGTCATAATAATGTTATAGTCATCTTTGATATTATACATAATCATTAAGAGTCTTGAATTCAGTAATTTCAGGCTTTGCCAAATGAACACATTCGAAAAACCATTGTGACAATTTTATAATATAAACATATATATATATATGTACATATGCCCTAATCTGCCGGATACGTTCATAAAATATAATACGCACATTATGAAATTTTAAAAAATGTATTGTTCTTAAACGCTAATATAATAAATGCAAGTCCACAGAGTGACTTAGGAGGTCTTGACGATGAGTTGGTCGATTTTATAATTTAAATCAAGCCGTCTTTCAGTCGTCGTCTAAACGTTTTCTACAATTAGATTTTTTAAACTTGGACTTCTTAAATGAAATCGAGTCAGTCGATTCGTTCTTCGTCAATGCGCTCACACTCCCAACTATCTTTTCCTTGAACGTGTGTTCTTTTTCTTTGGTACTCGGCACCTTAATCGCCACGAATTCCTGTACTGGTAACTGAAGATCGATCACTGGCTGCGGCTGACTGAAAATAAATTCGTACCGGTATTATACTATTATTAAATATTAATAACAAAATAATGGTTGTAATTTGTATTTCATTTTACAGTAAATATAAAGGGAAAAAAGAATTCAGTACAATTATACAAATAATGTTATACGAAAAATCCACGGAGCCACTCATTGTAGGGACCGAATATTATTAATTTTAAATTTTTATGTACAAAACCATTTGCACAAAGAAGCACAAGGTATAATATTTAGTTCATATAAAAGTCGTTGTTCAAATAAAGGCTCCACTTGATGGAGTGTAGGTACATATATTAGTTTACAGAGAAACATTGAAATAAATATCAACGTTAAAGTGGGAATCATAAGGATATGAAATTCAATAATAATAATACTCTTTTCATTATTTGTATACTCATAACAATACTGCTAAAATGTATAAAATATTATATATGTTCCGGCAATAACGGTAATGACTAGGCAATGTCAGTAATACCGGTCCATACCAGTCATTGTAGGCAATTTGTGTATATTTCCGTAATTGACTGGTAAGTTTAGTCAATGTTATATTATTGTCATTTATCGGTATTTTCCAAGGTGGTTATCGATTAGTTATCTTGATTTATCACATTACCTATTCCCTCTGACAAAATAATCGTAGGTACATAATTTTAGTCGTGTAATAGTATCGTACATACTTTCAGTCGTGTTACAGTATCGTTGTGAAGTGTGTGACCTTATAATTTTTGATAATGGAGTTAGCCAATATGCGTGAAAAATTTAATAAATCAATTGATTTATTATTGCTTAAAAAGCATGACAATAAATCATTTTTAAGTGTCGAGGAATATAACAAACGGCTGCAAGAAGTAAAACATTCCAAAACTTCATTGAATACACCCGGTTTAAAGAAAGTTCCTAAGGATTATAAGAATGTTCGTAAGTACGATGTAATAACAATAAGTGGAAAAGAGTATCTTATTAAAAGTGTAAAAGATACTGCATCTAATGTAATTTACTATGTAACTAACGAGGATTTGTTTAATATTCTAAATACATGTCATACTTCTATTGGTCATGGTGGTCGAGATAGGATGGTATCTGAACTTAAACAAAAATAATGTAATATTACAAAAGAAGCCATTATGACGTATTTGAAACTTTGTATCCACTGCGAGAAAAAATCGTCTAATCCAAAAAGAGGACTAGTTTCTAAACCTATATAACATAAAGCATTTAATTCACGTGCGCAGATGGATCTCATAGTCACAAGGTTTTAATGATTTTCGTTACATTATGAATTATCAGGATCATTTAACAAAGTTTGTGATTCTAAGACCTCTAAAAACTAAACGTGCCGAAGAAATTGCTTTTAATTTAATGGATATTTACACCATTTTTGGAGCACCGGCCATTTTACACTCCGATAATGGCAGATAATTTGTCAATAAAATTATAACAGAACTCAATGAAATGTGGGGGGATATAAAAATCGTGCATGGAAAACCCCGACACAGTCAATCGCAATGGTCAATAGAAAGAGCTAATCGAGATGTTGAAGATATACTGGCTACTTGGATGGCGGAAAATAACTCAACTGACTGGCCAACAGCATTAAAATGTATTCAGTTTCAAAAAAATCCCCATATTATACAATATACGCTATTTACCAGTTTATTACGACATAATAGTATGTCGGCATATGTTTTGATCATAGTCGTCCACAAATAGCTATTAAATATAGGTATTATTATTCAGAGTTATAAAAACTTGTTTAGTAAGTAGTAACTCTGATTAATGAAGTAAAATTAACTTAAAATTATTATTTTAAATTTAAGTCAAAATATAATATACCTACTGTAAGGTATATTTACGGACACAAAAATAAGCACATTTTATATAGGTCATGGCATAATATCTATAATACCTATAATAGCTGCAAATAACTATAATATAATACACTTTTTGGTTTATTATTAACAATAATACAAGTCAATTAAAATTAAAATAATTAGTATTTATAGGATAAATGCTTTGTTATGTATTGAACAATAAGTATTTTTTCTTGTATATTAACTAGAAAATTACTGTTCAGTATCGCTGTATCACAAGATTTTAATTTGTACTTAAATTAGCAGAACAATTTATTAAACGCTAAAGATTGTAAAGATAATACCTATCAGGGGTTGCTAACCTTTTACAACAAGTGAGCTACATTAAAAATATTTAAGAACCTGATGATAGACCACTATTTATTTAGGTAAGTATATTATTTATATTATTACATGCAACATGCTGCATAATAATAAGTTGTATATCTAATAATAGTATTCTTTTATTATTTCTAAATCCGAAAATGCTACGTTTTTCATCGTTAACAAATACTTTACTTTATACGTATATATAATGTAAAAGTAATAGTGTGTTTAACATTACGCACATGATCCACCGATATTTAATACGATTGACCAATATTCCTCCCAAGATCAATTTTTGTAGACTACTGACCTATATTATATTATAAATAATTATAATGTGCATATATACTATACGGGGTTAAACGTTTAAACAATTAACACATTTTCTCAGTAAACATTAGTGTCTTAAAAAATTTATATTTTATGCAATTTTTAGTACAGTATAGTATAGGTACAGTATAATAAAATACGATTTTTTTACTGTATAATTGATCAGACTTTCTGTTTTTTTTTATGAAAACCCAACCAAGAAGTCAAAATATGCGATATAATGTCAATGTATGGTTTTAAAACCCCAGCTCTAATATAATCATGCTCAACTTTATTTGAAAAAAAATCACTCTTAAATTTTAATATTTTAATACAGAATTACCGCGGTATACAGGATTGATTGGAGTTTTTATTTCTACAGAAATCGCATATAATATTACTTATGTACTATAATATACCTAATAAAATATGATGTAAATGTATCGTAAGTATGATATGTTATAACTTATAAATTATTATAATAATAATTAATAACATTTATTATGAAACCCAAGACACATTAGCGGACATGTTTCGGTTTGGTCGTTAGACTTTGTTGGTCGATTATTTGGAACGTAAATCGTAAATATATATATAATATCTGTTAAATGATTAAAACTAATAGCGTTTTTCGTCTGCCAAAATGGCTTACCCCAAACAATGAAAAATAGCTTTGTTTCCAAGCTGCGTACGTGCTATATAAAACGGGAGAAGGCCGTATATATATATATACCAGTGGCATTTATATCGTTAAAAAAATGAACCGTGGAGGGGCGCGTTTGAAATTCGATTAGATATAATAATATATACGAGCACATAATCGAATCGCGTATAAATTGTATCTTGAGAAAAACAAAACAAATAACAATTCGATCTAGACAAATTATAGTTTTCTGCAGCAGACTTACATCTTTTCCACCGTTCTCCATGATCCAATGCGTGTCGTTTCCGCCATGAACGGTTCAAATACACCACGCACCGGAGGCTGAGGAGGATCTTCCGCAGCATCTTCGTCACCGTCGTCATCGTCGTCATCGACGTCGTCACCGGGTTTCTTGTCCGTAGTCTTTTTCCGTTTGGCTTTCGACCCGGCGGCCGGTGCTTTCTTTTTGGTCGCAGTCTTCTCCTTGGTCTTGCTGTCCTTTCCTTTTCCATCCTTTCCCTTGCCGCTTTCTTCAGCTTCCTGTTCGGCCACGCTCAAGAAACCCTCTGCCGGTGGTTCCCAAACCGACTCTAGAACACGAATCAACATATACTATTGAAACAACCTAAACCACCCCGATTATTATATAGGTAATAGATACAAGATAATTCAGAATTGGAATAAATATATAATATAAGAATAAAAGAGTTTGAGTATATAATAATTTTGTAAATAAGTTATCTCGTATATACAGGGTATAATAGAAAGTATTGACTAATGCAATATAACTTTTGTTATAATCAATATTTTATATACTTACATATTTATTTGCCTTAATATAATTTATAATAACACTAGCGCTATTTATAGTGCCTATATACAAAAAATTTTTAAATCTGATTACCTATAAGAACAATTTTGATGAAAAAAACATTTATCTAAGTCAATTAGTTTATTATTTAACATTTTTAAAATAACAATATTTTTTTGGCATACATTTATTTAAATGTTGTATTTTGGGAATTTCTTGACGTAAGTACCTATATTTCTTAAATTATTCATTATCCATATAATTTTCAACATTTTTTTTTCATATATGAATGATATATAATATTAATATATTAACCTATAGGTTTAATTAGCATACATTTTTTTTCCGATCATTCTGTTACATTCAGTACCTATAGGTGCGTATATAGTGTCTCGCCGTGTGTAAGGGGTTTACCCCGGTCTGTATAAAAATGTGTTTAAAAAATATTTTTGAAATGTAATTTTTGGTAAATAATAAATTTATTGGCTAGGTAAAATATTGGTTAACTTATCAATATTTGAAATTAATATTTGTTTTCATATTTCGAATGTTTTATATATTGAGAAAAGAAAAGACAAACACGGCCAGACACCCGATATGTTATATCAAACTTTTAGCACTGACCTCCGGTCTCGGTGTTCCAGTAGTACATCAGGTCGGAACCATCGTCAGTCCTGGACTGGTGCCAGACAAATTCGGGCTTGGGGGCCGCAACCGGTTTGATGGACACGGGCATGTTGTTTTTCGAATAACTGATGTTTACATGTGGCCCTGTTGGCTGCTGAGTCATTATGTAAGGCGTAGGACGAATACACAAGCCCTTCTCTTTGATCAGTACTTGTGACGAATAATCAGGATTGTTCGTTATGTCGTTGTAATACGCTTTCATTGCGTTCTGCATTTGTGACACAATTTTAGGTGCAAAAAAAAAAATTTAAATTAATATCTGCTGAAAAAACCCGACGCATTCTAACTACTTCTATATTTACGGAATCATTCGAAACTATAGTTACAACCCGTCAATAAGGGGAAAATAGAGTTTCATAACGAAATTAAAAAACAAAACTCAATAAGTATGTACGATGTACATGTAATATTGTATAAGGCCGAGGCGATCCCATTGTGTAGTTGTTAATTTGTTTTTAATACTTATAGCAGTTATATGTTATTAAGATTAACCTTCTTACATATTAGTAATACACGTTTTGTCTACTTTTGATGTGTGTTTGTGTTTTAAATATTGACTAGTTATGATTTTTATTTATTTTTTACTATTTTTCTTTATCGTGATTATTGATTCCCCCAGCCAAAACCAATATTATTATTTATCACTATACATAAGATAAAAATATATAAGTTATATAACCAGTGGTGTACTCACGGGGGGAGGGGGAGGGGTTGACCAATTGACCGTATTTTTTTTCACTTTCATATGAGTATTACAATGTAGGTAAGATTTTTTGGTTTTTTGGGTACCTAACTCTAAAACAAATGATCGTAGATACTTGAAATTTTCACTGGTTGTCTATATTATCATTTTCTACACATGATAAAATGTATTATTAATATTATTTGGATTTATTTTGAACTGTTTACGAACATTTTCATTTTCCAATTTTGCTTATTTTTTTTTTTTCTATGAATGTCACTAAAATGTTATTTGTTCTGTAAAAAGCAAGGCTGGGCATTAACGAATTAATAAGTTAAAGTTAAGTTAAAAAGTTAAGTTACTTTTAACTAAGTTAATTAACGAGTTACTTTTTTTCTTATGTTATTCAGTAACTTACGAGTTAATTAATTTTATTGCCACGTTAAGTTAATTTTTTTCCTAAGCCACAGGTTTAAAATTAATTCAATTTTGTAAAAAATAATTTTATAAAAAGAGAATATTAAATATATTAATTAGTAAATAATAATTATTATATTGCATATTCGCAGAAAATATTATATAACTATATTATAGACGGAAATGTTATAACTTATAAGGGTTAGTGTTAATATTACTTTCTTGCAATATTTGTATCGCACCTATATTGTTTGAAATTTTAAATAAAAATATGGTTAACTATTAACTTAGCTAATAGTGATACACTTCATTCAAAATGGAGTCATTTAAATAAATATTTTAAAGAAACGTCGAGGGCCACGAAAACAGGCCGCGGGTCCGCATGTACAGATAAGTTCATATATAAGTATAACAATTAGTATACAAATCAAAAATGTACAGTTTAATAAAAAATTATTAAAAAAAAAAAAGCTTTATTGTTGTTGGAAATGCACAATATCCTATAAATTGACCAGTTACAGAAGTAGTTAATAGTGTAAAACGGTAAAGAGAATGGATAGAGATCATGGACTGAAACTTGAAAGTATTGTGTTTTGAAATGTTTGGTAAATTATTATGATTTTATAATGATTATTAAAGTATGAATGTTGAAAAGCTATTAGTTTTTGGTTGTATTATTTTACTTTTGATATTCATATGATATACCAAATACAGCTCACTATAGGTATACTGTGTCTACTAAAATGGTGAAATACATAAATACATAATGACACAAAATATGTAAATATTATTTCTAGGGGGGGCTCTGCCTACTTTTGAATTCAAGTAAATTTTAAGAACCCCCCCCCCCATAGAAAATTCCTGAGAATGCCACTGATAGGTATACTTCACAATCATTTTAATTACTCCTTATAATACAAAAGTAGAATATGTATAATATTATATACATGCCATGTAAAATATATTACGGGATGTGAATTGTAATATAGGTTAATTGATAATTATATATTTATAAATACCTGTTCCATCCGTTTCATGTCCATTTCCATTTTTTGTTCTTCTTTCCGTTCGATGGCACTATTTTTTTTAATGTCCACCAACCGTTTGGATACGCTGATTTGGTGCCGTTTACCATTTTCATGAAACTGAATACTCTGTCAAGCCCAAAAAGATTTATATAACAATATAATGATAATATATCGACATATTATAATATTATACAATTCCCAGGAACCAGTGGTATATGATACTTAGTGCTAGTAATGCTAATACCACAAAGATTGTTACATAACCCAAAAATGTTTAATATATCGAAATAAAATTTTTATAAAATTAAACTTTGGTATTACATTTTGTACAACAACTTTGTTAGCGTTTGATGCTTAGCATCTCCGTATAATTGTTTGTGACCACCATTTACAAAGCATATCGATATAGACAGAACACATTAAATAATAGTAAATACATTTATTATAATAATTATAAACTGTAGGTATATCAGTATATTATGTACTCACAGGTTTGTTATCTGCAATCCAACATTTGCAAAAGTCGCAAAATTTCTTGCCAGTAGATTTCCAAAACTCAGTCCTGCAGAAAAATATGCATTCATCATTAACACGTAGTAAAATCTGATACATTTTACGATTTATTTTTAACACATTATATTTTATTACGCATATCAACAGTTCAACACTATTTTCAGTTTATAATAGTTCAAATACTGCAGTTGGCTTCTTTCAAGATTTCAAAAATTAAAAAGATCGTTAACATTTTAAGACACAACTAGAGATAATTAAACGTATTGATAAATAGTTCTGCTTTAAATATATAGATTAGTTTATTACTTTATATCATAATTTGTATCTATGCTTTTTTAGATTCCGAGCGAGGAAGCTATTGGTTTTACAATGGTGTTTATTTTTTTATTTTGTTTATCCTGTATACAAAATTTCTACCAGAAGGAGCGCTTCGATTTCAATATATAGTGCCTTATCTTTTAGCAAATGCATCAAGATGGTACTTTAGAGAGGTCATTTTCCGATTTTCTCAATATTTATTTAATTGCACAGAAAAAACCACTGACAAATTACGAAAACGGAAAAACCGCTAAAAATGGGAATTTCATTACTAAAGCTTTGTTTATCACCATAGAAACGAATACAAATTATAATATTAATTCAACTTACAGGATATAATAAATAATAACAATATAAAATATCCTGCAGACTGACAAACCGTCTCCGCTCAGAATCATTTTTCTTATACAATGATATTTTATCATTGAATTCAAATTTATACCATCCATTATACAGTGACCCACTTATAACCTACTGTACAGCAGAGAACCTTTTTTATCTTGTACTTCAATAATAATATATTTATTATTTATATATAATATTATATGTAATACCAATACCAGATAGGTAACTACCAAATACGTACTAATTACCTAATATATGTATATAGTTAATAACAAAGTTTATACTATAGGGTTAAATGCTGAGTACACGAAAAATGTTCAGCTATGTCCAACAACACGATATCGTGGTTAATTGTGTGGTAATCTAACCAACCAATCACAGAAAAGGATTGATGCGTACGTGTATAAACTATGAAGGATATCCGCCTTAAGGGTATTTCAAATGTTGACTGGTATTTGGTATTTGTTTACTACGGGTAGGTACCTATATATGACATTACTGCTGCAGGTTATACAGTATTTTTGGTTTTCCTCGTACCTCAGTAATTACTGAAAATACTGGACCTCGGTAATTACCAAAAATAATATACCTTTATAATTAATACCGAAAACACCGTACCTCGGTAATCGGCATATTCAATGAATTTAGAAGTGTTTTAACCACGAATTAAGATATTATACAGGATACTTAACGACGCGTCGCTATCAATGTTAATTTGAAGTTGGAATGTTCTCCATTTGAAATTGGACTTCTCAGTTTTCTATTGGTCAATCACGGTTGATATACATAATATACTTAGTCTACATAGTATATTATACTTACATCCATATCATGAATAGTACAAAAACTATCCACCGTCGATTACCCATAACTACAAGTCAAGTTGGAAGAAACGTTTGTAATCAACTGATAAGGTTTTGTTCCATATCCTGCAAGTATATCTTAATTCGTGGTTCAACCCAGGACAATTGTTCATCTATTTTAAAAAATATGTTTGTAATATTATTATGATTATCTAAGTACATTTTAACTTTTAAGTTTACCTATAGGTACACGGTATTTTCAGTATTCTAAAATACCGACAGACCTATAGTTTATACTCATGTACTAATCCATTATGCCATTATGCATGCAACATACAAGGATTAAATAATTATCCAAATAAAAATATACAATTTAAATTTAACTACCATTGATTGATTATTATCATTAATTAGTAGTCCCTCAGTTGTTCTTTAAGATTTTTAAGATCAGGTAATAGTCAGCTAAGTTATACCTAACACTGACGTTTTAATTCACAGATATAAGCAACTATACAGTCTGCAAAGTTTACTTAGAAGGTAGTAATAAATATCATATATTTACATAATGTATGAATGTATGATAAGCCTAAGAGCATGTAAATAATTCAAAACATCCATCTAAAGCTAAAACTCAATGATGACGTACTCATCTCCAAAGTAAAGGTTGATGTCACCATAACGTATTAGAGCCAATTTTATTTCAAACTCATTTTATATACAAATCCTCTAATCAACCACCTTTACAAATCTCTCGACAGCAGCCGAAAGTTTCATCACGTCAGCGTAAACAAAACAAATTTCTACTTTTACTTTAAACAAGTATAAAATGATAAATAACCTGTTAGTACCTAGGTATGCTATTTTCTTACCGATGACACATTCTGTCGTCATATGTTATGTACCTACATAAAATACGCAATTTATCCAATTTATTTACATATTGACATATTGTACACATTCCTAGCTTTGATAGTTATTATTATAAAATGAATTAGGTTGCCAATAACTAAAAAAAAAGCAACTGTTAATTACTGTAGAATAATAATATATTACGCAACTATTGTACATATACAAACATATGTACTGAACCACTGGCTACTAATACTTTTATCGAAATATTCATATGTTTCAATATTTTATTTTATGTTTCGTAATTCAATTATTTCGAAATTAAGAATAATTTGCTGAAAATTCAGTTATCGTAATTTAAATCACATAATATAATTATCGACAATGGCTCTAAATTGGCTAAACTGAAACATACCGAATTGTTGAATAAGCGTATTATATACAATTTACCTATTTCAGTATTAAAGTAAGATTACATTAAGGTATTACGAAAAGTACTGCAGGTTAGGTATAAATATAATAAAATAATAGGTGTGCAATATGTTAATTGCGCCAATATTCGAAAAGGGTGTTAAACCCACGCGCAGAGATTATTAGGGCGTGTAGTAGGTACATAGGGATTAGGGGCCAATTTGAGTACCGCTCGTCTGCAGTATACGAGTAAACACATATAATGCGGATATAATAATATAATACAAAGGGCAAAAAGCTTTCGTTCTTTATTCGCATTATGTACCTACAGAGTAAGTATTGTTTTCTTCAGTATTGTAATACCTAATAATAATACGCTGATGTAACAATGTAGGTACAATATAGGTACATAGGTGATAGGTTATTGGTATAGATGATCATAATTTCTTGATCAAAAAAAATATATGATATAGATATTGTTTGTACATACACTTCTATTATATCTGAATGCGACGATACAAATAAGCGTATTATATTCAGTAACGAACTAAATGATTTGTGGTCGTGATCCGCAACGAACACTTTTATCCCGATTCCTGGTTATTATACCAACGAGCACGCACGCAGTCCTCGCAGTACCTACCTACATCGTATTTTATATAGTAAAATATAATATTATCGTATACAATGGTCAATGATGTACCTTTAACTATCACATTAATAACGTATTTCGTACGTAGGAACAGTTGATGGTAGGTAGTCCTATAACGTGCTTCGACAAAAATCCGTAAAAATTATTTGGATAATTATTAATATACCCTTATATACAGCTGTAGCCTGTAGGTAAACACAATATAATACCTACCATAAAATATTATTACAATGACATAATCATGTATTCATGCGCTTATAATAATATACAAATATGTGTACCATAACCAAGAAAACGGCAAAACTTAAGGCACCGTCTAATATTCTAATGTTGTATACATTTCTGCAGCCTCGAGCGGTGGTATTAAAATCTGTATACCTAACTACTTGAAAGACGGAAGTTCACGTAGTATACGTAGTTAGATACGTCTTACAAATTGCACTGCAGCGTTTGAGGTACGACTGCAGTAAGTCTGTACGAGGTACATCACGACTCACGAATATGCAGTAAACATAGATATAGTGGGAATAATTCTGCAATTGTATTTACTTGTTGATCAATACACCTGCAGTTATGTTGTTTACTATGTTTAATACTGTAATATATATATACATATATAATATATGGTACTCACAACTCACGTATTATATATAAATATGTATTACATGTAGGTATAGCGTGTTTCCTGAGGATTCTTAAGAGGACACCACACGTCCACACGCACATGTGTTTGTCTCCGTTTTACAAGTGCGTAACATAGTAATTTTAGAAGATCAGAAGATCACGTTTAGCTCCGTTAGTTTAAAAATATGAGTGAATCGACGTAATGTGAAACTTCATGGTAAGAATCTTATCTGTGTTCGTATGTTTGTTTTTACGATTATTCAATTTTAAGTGAGTTATGAGCATTTTTAATTTACGATTTATTATATACGCATAGGCATAACTTGCTAAAAAATTGAGCTATCGTAAAAAACCAACGTACGAACACCTGCAGATAATGTTTCCATCAAGTTGCATAATAGGTCGATTCACTTTATTTTTTAAACTAACGAAGCTAAACCTAAACTTGATCTGCTGAGCGTATACATTTTCTGTTACGAACTTGCAAAACGGATACAACACGTCATGCGGGTGTAGCGTCCTCTTAATTAAATTTAAAGCCATATGATTTCGATGTAGTGAACATTGTTCAAACATCTAACAACTTGAAAATAGTGAATCCTAGTTGACTCCCTTCCACAAAACATGAATATTTATGCATATTTATATAATGTTATGTGTTATATAAGTTTTTATAAAAACAATTTAATGTAGGTATAATATAAATAATATCACTTTTATTGCACAAAACACGAGTGTTTACTTTGGTGCTCGACAAATATGAAAAAGGTTACGTTAAAAATAACATTACAAAACAATAGTTCGGTCCACCGGTAAACTTTTCAAAATAACAACGTTTTTGGACAACAAAATTAATAAAAAAAAACCTACCCTGCAGTGAGGGGTAGTTGCGCTTGTACACGTGTATATGTACAGAAAGTATATAGAAGTAAGTACGATGACGGTACAATGTAGGACGTAGGTACAAACTACATATTATGTACATAAATATAATGCATTTAAAGATGACGCATGAATGTATAACTCATGTTATATTAAAATTACGATGACAATAAATTTACAATATTGTTATACTGCTGTGGCGTTGGCCGGCGGGG